AGGGGGGGTGGGATGGGGGAGACATGGGGGGAATTTGGGATGGAAAAAGCCTTGAAAGGGATGGAGGAATCCAGCCTCCCGCGCTGGCAGGCGATTATCCGTGCTTAGCAGGTGTAGCGGTGACAAAGGGGGGACACGGAGGCCAGGAACAGGACTCACTCAACCAAAATCAATGGGAATCAAAGCAGGGATGAGTCCAGAGGGGCCAGAGCTGCTCCCCTGCTGTGGGGTTTGGGGAGGAGGGGATATCAGGGGGTCACTCCAGTCGTGCTTCCCCCTTCATCCCCCCCATTCTGTCCCCCAGGTGCATTGACCAGAAGTTCAAGCGCTGCCCTCCCCTCCCCACCACCAGCGTGGTCATTGTGTTCCACAACGAGGCCTGGTCCACCCTGCTCCGGACAGTCTACAGCGTCCTGCACTCGTCCCCGGCTCGGCTGCTCCGCGAGGTCATCCTGGTGGACGATGCCAGCACGGATGGTGGGTGGGGGCCATGGGGAAACAGGGGTCAGAGGGAGGCAGGGACCATGGTGGGATGTAGGTCAGAGGGATGCAGGACCACAGGGAGCAGTGGGGGAATTTGGGGGCCAGCAGGAGGCAGAATCCACGGCGGGATGTGGGATCAGAAGGACACGGGAGCCCTGGCAGGATGCAAGGGACGCCAAGCCCCTTTCCAAGCCTGGAAGTGGCAGCTCTGAGCCACTTGGAGAAGTGACTGAAGCTTTCAGCATCCCAGGATTTCACACTCACTCCAGAGCACCCCTGGGATTTTCCCTTCCCCAGCACTGCTGTTAACCCAACCCTGGGGACAAACCTGGTGCCCCACAAACCTCCACCCTCAGCCAGCTGCAACCCTCATTAATTAGTACCCAGAGATAATTAACGCAGGGTTCAGTGTCAGGTCACTGGGAGGAATGGACTCTGCCCTTGTCCCAGATAAATTCTCTCTTTCCACCCACGGGCTCCCGAGGAGCAGGAACCTCAGGGTGCCCCAGGGCTTCCTTGCCCCAGACCTTGACTCCCACTGTGGCTGGACATATGGGTGGGACTTGGGTTCCCTTCCCAGGATGATTTTCTGGGGGTCCCAGTTCTCACTTGGCCATTTCCAGCTCCTGGCTTGGCTGCGCCTGCCAAGAAATCCCAGGATCTTCTGGTGGTGACCCTGCGTCCACTGTCCCTTCCCTCAGTCACAACTTGGTCCTGGTGACCCTTCAAGTGCAGAATGTGACCTCCCCCTGTCAATCCCCCAGTCCCTCTCCAGAGAGGGATGAGACAGAGGGGGCTTAGACCCTCATAAAACTCTTCTTTTTTAGCCAAAAATACACTTGGGTTTGGGGCAAAGGCCCAGGTTGTCCCTGAACCCAAAACTGCAGGGTCTGAGCAGCAGCGGACGGGACGGGACAGGATGGGACAGGATGAGATGGGAAATGGGAAATGGGAAATGGGATGGGATGCGATGGGATGCGATGGGATGCGATGGGATGCGATGGGAGGCACCAGGGACTGGCACCTGCCTCTCTGATGGACCCAGATGCTCTTCCCACCCTCAGAGTACCTGAAGGAGGAGCTGGATCGCTACGTGGAGCAGCTGCAGATCGTGCGCGTGGTGCGGCAGCGGGAACGCAAGGGGCTCATCACGGCGCGGCTGCTGGGGGCCAGCGTGGCGAGCGGGGAGGTGCTGACCTTCCTGGATGCCCACTGTGAGTGCCCCCCCTGTGCCACCCGTGTGCCACCCGCATGCCCCTGGGTGCTGTGAGTGGCGCTGTCCCTGCTCCAACCCTGCCCCGTGTCCCAGGCGAGTGTTTCCATGGATGGCTGGAGCCGCTCCTGTCCCGCATCGCCGAGGAGCCCACGGCCGTTGTGAGCCCCGACATTGCTACCATCGACCTCAACACCTTCGAGTTCTCCAAGCCTGTCCAGAATGGGAAGCAGCACAGCCGGGGCAACTTCGACTGGAGCCTGACTTTCGGCTGGGAGGTCGTTCCCGCACGGGAGAGGCAGCGCAGGAAGGATGAGACCTTCCCCATCAAGTGAGCCCAGCACAGGACTCTTTATCCAGCTGGGTTTGCTCTTTTTCCCAACAAATGGGTGTTCTCCTTGGTTTTGGTGCCTCAGGGCAGGCAGTGCTGCCCCTTCCCAGCGGAGTTCTCAGGGAGGTGTAGGGGATCTCAGGGAGTTTGTGCCCGGGCATGGTCAGAGCTGTGGGGATGGTGGAGGACAAATCTCACTGGGGCTTGGGGAGCGTGGGGACACAACTGACCTTGGAATTGCCTCCGGCAGAGTCGCCCATTAAGGATTTAATTGCTGTCTGTACCTTCTTCCTCTCGGATACCCGAGTGCCCCCGCACAGAGCAAGTCACCTGTGGATCAGGATGTGCCAAAATCCCCAATTTTTCCCCCTCTGTTTTACATGCGGAGAGAGCCTGAGGAGTTTTCCCACCCCTCCGCTGGTGGCCAGGGATAAACCGGGTGCTCCCATTGGGAGACACCGGACACCCCGCCTGGCCCTGTCCCCACCCCGGCCGCGGTGCTGGCTTTGTGCACGGGTCACCTGGGAGACGCTCCTGTCCCAATAAAGGCCCCTTTCACCTCCAGCCGGGCACTTGGCTCCCGCCGGTGCCTCGTCTCCAGCAGCTCAGCAAATCCTTGGGGTTTATTATTTTTCCTGAATAAAAGCAAGGTTCTGTTCCAGCCTCAGATGGAAAAGATTAGGGAAACGGGAGGAGGGATTGGGGCACCGAGCTCTGACCACCCCCTCTTTTTGGTGACAGGTTTTTGGTAACAATATCTTCTTTTCACTTTGAATCCAGCCAGCAGCGAGGCCCCTCCATGTCACACGGTCACCTCTGTCCCCTCCCAGCAGCCAGGCCCAGCCTGTCCACCAAAGCCACCACAGCTGGACGGAGGGGGATTCTGATTTTGGGGCTGTGATGTCTCAAAACTCAGATTTCTGCTCTTTTATTTGTGTTTAACCCTTTCTTTGTCCCCCACAGGTCCCCGACCTTCGCAGGTGGCCTCTTCGCCATCTCCAGGTCCTACTTCGAGCACATTGGCTCCTACGATGACCAGATGGAGATTTGGGGGGGTGAGAACGTGGAAATGTCTTTCAGGGTAAGGACAGGGGTGTCACCTTCAGAGGGCACCTCCAGGGAGCTCCCTGCTGGGGGGCCCTGGGGCTGGACCCCCCACCTCAGGTGTGGCTTCCCCGCAGGTGTGGCAGTGTGGGGGACAGGTCGAGATCATCCCCTGCTCCGTCGTGGGCCATGTGTTCCGCTCCAAGAGCCCCCACACGTTCCCCAAGGGCACCCAGGTGATCTCCCGGAACCAGGTGCGCCTGGCTGAGGTCTGGATGGACGACTACAAGGAGATCTTCTACCGCCGCAACCAGCAAGCCTCCCAGATGGCCAGAGAGGTACTGGACATGCTGGGGGGCTGCTGCTTCTACTGGGAGGGCTGGTCCTGCTGGGAGCTCCACCTGAGCAGGGTGGGGTGGGAAACCGCACACAGGTGGACAGAAGTAGCCAAAAGCCTTTTCTTTTTCTTTCCCCCTCTGGCCAGAATGTTTCCTGGTAGGAGAACATCAGAGTTTATGAATATTTTTTTTTTCACATCAAAATTTTGTGCCAAAATACCTCCAAGCTGGAGTCTGTGGGTACCTGTCAGGTGATGCCTCCCACTTGTCTCAGAGCTGGTCATACCATGAGGAATGATGACAAAGCTGGGGTGACTCCCAGCTCCGAGTCCCAGCTCAGAAAGGGATAAAGGGATTTTGGGGGATTTTCTCCACTGTTTTCTGAAGTGAGTTTAATTCTCTCCTGTGACTTTGTCAATAGAAGACATTTGGTGACATCACAGAGCGGCGCAGGCTGCGGGAGCGGCTGCACTGCAGGAACTTCACCTGGTACCTGCAGAATGTCTACCCCGAGATGTTTGTGCCCGACCTGACCCCCAAGTTCTACGGAGCAGTGAGTGCCAGGATGGCCAGAGCACCCAGGGGGTTCGGTCCTGGGCTGGGAATAGAGAAGAGGGGAAGTGCCCAAAGGTTGGGTTTGGGGGTTTTGCATTAATCCGGGAGGGAGAGGGGGTTGGTGCTGCCACGTCTGTCACTGCTCACTGTGTCTGTCTGTCACCTCATCTGTCACTGGCTGGCAGGGCCGGTTTGGGCTCTGGCTAAGCTGGAATCCAGCAGAGCTGATCTGGGGTGAGTTTCAGAGTGGGGAACCCACGGGGATGTGGATTTGGGTTAAACTCGGGGGAAGACCTGAAAACTTCTTGAGCCCCAAACACCATCCTGGCACAGGGAGGGCTGGAATAACAGAGGTGGGGGTGGGATGTGGAGCTCCAGCTCCAGCCTGAAGGAATCTGGAGATATGCAGGACTCATCTCCAGCCACCCATGAACAGGGAAGAGGAGACAGGCAGGATGTGGAGGGCTGGCTCTGTCCCTGGGGGAGCTGGGGACAGCAGGACATGGAGCTCTGGCTGCATCCCCAAGGAACTGAGGACAGGCAGCATGAGGGGCTCCAGCTCCATCTCTGAGGATGGAGTTGGCAGAAAACCCTTTTCTTCCACGCTGGGTGTTGGATCCTGAGTCTGCCCCTCCTCATCCAGGGCGGGGTGACAGCAGCCGGCACGGCCAGGTGACAGCCCAGTGTCAGCTGGGCCGGGTGCTGGCTCCCATCCAGCTTTTAATTCACCTTTATTTCCTGAAACCTCAGCCCGGGCGGCTTCCCCTCTGCTCCACGTGCCAGAGGCGATGGCTCGGGCGTTCCTCATGTCCTGGAAAGGACACGGGACCCGGACCCGGCGCTGTGTGCCAGGATCGTGTTTGCGCAGCGATAACCCAGAGCTCCGCAGAGCCAAACCCGAGGCGGGTCCTAGCCCGGCTCCTCTCAGCCCTTCTTTCCTCCGCTCTCCCCACCGTTTTCCTCACTCCTGCCCCTTTTTCCCCGTCCCGGTCTTTTTCCCCCATCTTGTCCCCCCCTCACCCCATTCCCGTTGCCTTTCCCTGCCCTTTTCTCCCCATCTCTTTTTTCCTCCTCTTTCCTCTCTCTCATTTTTCTCCCCGCTCTTTTTCCCACCACCACCTCTTTCCCCCCCAAACACTTCTCTTCTCCCCACGCCCCAGATAAGAAACGAAGGCACCAAGAGCTGCCTGGACGTTGGGGAGAACAACCACGGTGGGAAACCTCTCATCATGTACCCCTGCCACGGGCTGGGGGGAAACCAGGTGGGCTCCCCAAAGGCCCCCCATCATTTCCCCCTCTGCTCGCCCCGGTTTTCCCCCGGGGGCAGCTCCCGGGGCGCAGCAGTGACGGCCCCGCTCGGCTGTTCCCGCAGTACTTTGAGTACACGAGCCAGCGGGAGCTGCGCCACAACATCGGCAAGGAGCTGTGCCTGCGGGGGGCTGCGGCTGCTGCCGAGCTGGGCGAGTGCCAGTTCCGAGGGAAGCCCGGCCGGGTGCCCCCCAGCGAGGAGTGGGACCTGGCGCAGGTGAGGAGACCCCTCCACCCCGGGAAACCCCCCGGGCACGGCGGCATCGCGCCCTTCACGGTGCTGCTCCTGCGGGGCTGTTTCCCCTCGGCCCCGTGCCGTGCTCACCCCGGGCCGCTCATTCATCGCCCGGGTTGTTTCTCGGCAGAACCGGCTGATCAAGAACTTGGCCTCAGGGATGTGTCTGACGGCCCGGGGGAAGCACCCGGCGCTGGCTCCCTGCGACATCACGGACCCGCACCAGCTCTGGTCCTTTACCTAAAAGGGAGGAGAGCCCCCGGCCGGCCCCGGCCACGCTCAGGAAACCAGGATCCAAAAAACTTCCTTCTTCGCTTTAATTTAAAAAGTGAAAGCCTTAAATATGCTGCATTTCGTGGTTGCCTTGAACTGAATCCCGTACGTTTGGGAGCCGGGCTCTGCCGGGGGCACCCCACGGACCCCGAAACGCAGCGGCCGTGGCGAGGACGCTCCTGCGGATTCTCCTCGGAAGCCGCTGCTCGTCCTCCCCCTCCCGGCTCCAGCCAGAGACTCTTCAGTTCATATCGGGCATTAAAAACGTGGATGCGCCTCCCCAGATGTGGAATCCGGGCGGGAAAACCCGGCGAGGAGGAAGATGGTGACCGCGGGGCTCCTCCCGTCCAGACAGGATCGTGGCTTGCGGTGGCCCCTGGCGGGCAATGGGAGAAGTTGGGATCTCTGCCTTAGGAATCACGTTGGATTTGGAGGGGGGAGGAAGTTGTTAGATTTTTTTTTTGTTTTGTTTTATTGTTATTATTAAAAGATGATGATTCCTTGGTGCGATTCTGCTTGTGCTGAGCAGGAGGAGTTTTCCCTTGGTGGCAACACAGAATTCTTCTGAAGAAGATCCTGGATACCACATCTACTCTGTTCTGCATTTTTTGTCTATCCCAACACCTGAAGCTGCCACTTTTGTTGCCATTTCATTTATTATGGGGGTGGGGTGGGGGTGGTGGAATCCTCCTGGAGAGAACAGGAACGGGGAAAATCTGTCCTAGACACAGAACCTCAAATAAAGAGATGATTTATTTTACACAAATCCTGTCTTTGACCCTTCTACATTCCCTCACTTGATATCCCTCCCTCTTCTTCTTCTAGAAACTCCCGATTTAGAGAAAAATGAGTTGGCAGCTCTTAGTGCCACAACTGGGGGATCAGTTTTGGATTGAGGTGTCCCTGTGTAGGGCGCAGCCGTTGCTGCTGTCCCTCACCCCGTGCCCTTGGTGCTGACAGAACAAGCATGGCACTGTTTGGACATTGTGTTCCTGTCGAGTCTCATGTTTTCCTTGGAGATAAGGGCAGAACTGCAGCAGGTGCTTTTCATTGCCTTCAATTTTGTTGCCCTGGGTGACCCCATGACCCCCGTGAGCCCAAATGCTGTTTGCCAGTGCCTGTGCCTCGAGAGCCACGGTTCCCCCCGAAAACGGCCTCAGGGTGGAGTTCAGGGGGTAAAAAGGGACACAGCTTTGGCCCAAACTCCAGGCTTTGTTTCAAACCATGCTGCTGCTGCTTCATTTTGCCCCAAGCTCAGGTCCCGGGGAGGCCGAGCCCCGGCCCTGCTCCAGC